AGCTTCAAAATGTCTCTTTACATTCCATGTTCTGCTTACTACCATTTCATTACACAGTATGCACAATGATCTGTTGTTTCTGTTGACAATCCCATACATCTTGGTCCATACGTTTTGAAAGGGTCGGCTACTGCTACTTCCACTTCCTTTATCATTCAATCTTGGTTTTTTTATTTTTTTGATTCTCCATCACAAGGTTGCAAAAATAAATAAATATAAATCACTGCATTTTTTTATAAAAGGCTGATAGGTTTCTTACCTATTAACTTTTTTCAGTGTTAAACAATTCAAAGATAGTATGTATAACCAACAAATATATGGTGCTGTAATCAATTATCCGAATCGCAGAATGTCTCTTCGAAACAATTCAAAGATAGTATGTATAACCAACAAATATATGGTGCTGTAATCAATTATCCGAATCGCAGAATGTCTCTTCGAACACTGTTGCACTGTATATCTTTTTCTTCTAACCCTCCCACTCCTGTCTCCTAATGAACATGGCAATCAAGTGCGTCCGTTTGCCGAATGCACCCGAATGCACGGGAAGCTTACGAGAGGCACATGTTGACAATAACGATGCCATTTCCAGAATTGGGCATTTTGTCACTTGAGTAAAAATAAAATGTCATGAGTAAAGATTAATCTCTTTATAGTGCAATTCTTAAACTTTTTATATTAATGTCAATATTGGAACAATGTATCTTGGATGTTTTCACTATGTATCTTTGCTACAAAACACTGATGTACATGTTTACATGCGGTTTTAGAATTGCATTATTGATCATGAGTAACGTAATATTATACTCGAGTGATGCCCAACTCTGGCCGTTGCAAGAGACAAATATTTGAATTATGCAATTTTTTGTCTCTGTTGATGTGTGTCACCCAAAATGAGTTCACGTGTCACCACCTCGTGCTACCCAGACCTGTAGGTTCGCCATCACTGTTCTAGAAGCTACTTGTATTCCTTGGCTCATGGCATCTTATTCCATCTTTAAAGCCCAACCTCTCTGCCTCTGATGCTCCTACCTTTCTCTTATAAGGACCTTTGTGATTACATTAGGCCATTCAGATATTCCAGGATAATCGTCTCATCTCTAATGTGCCTTAATTTAATGCGTGCTTCTGCAAAGTCTCTTTCTGACATGTAAAATAACATAGTCATTTACAGGTTCTTGGGATTGGGACTTGGACAACTTGAAGTGTTCTATTTACCACATTATTATTCTATCTACCACATTATTCTATCTACCACATTATTTTATTGGCATCATTTAATATATATATTTCTTTTTCTCCTTTAATTTGTTCGTACAATGCATTTTGTCACTGGATTGCTTACGGTTCTTCCAATGTTATGAAATATTTTGATGAAATTCATTCTACAAATTTTAAACTACATTGTTGAAATCAGCCTCTTATTTGGAATTTTTGCATCAATAACTAATTACACATGTTAAAGTTATTAAACAAGGACACCATTAGATTTAGGTAGCTATACTGCCTTCAGTACCTACATAAACAAACAAAAAACTAATCCAGAGTGAATGACTCAATTTGGAGAAAATAAAATTTAAAAACAACCAATCACAAACATCCAATTTAGCTTTCCAAAATAAGGCGAATGCTTAAGCTGTACCAACCAAATAATTTCCTTGTTTTGCTTCTGGGTCTTCTCTATAAAAATATCTTCACTAGCTCCTGTTGGTGGAGCACTCTATCTGATTCAAATCTATGCTCACATAAACTCTTGAAAATTATAACATGCTTCAGTTTATCTTTTAATACAAGATGGGTAATACTTTTCTTTTAGCCTGTCTTTATCAGATTTTATATTAGTTAGACAAAATTAATTATTAGAGGACATTCCATTATTTTCTAAGATCTGAATAAACTGCATAGTCATTATGAGTTCAAAAATTAGCTAAAACTCAGCTATAATCATCTGGATACTTTTCATTAGTACATATTTTAAGACATTTAAGCTGAAACCGGTTTGGCTCAGTGGATAGATCCTGCGGACTGAAAGGTCCCAGGTTCAATTCTGGTCAAGGGCATGTACCTGGGTTGCGGGCACATCTCCAGTAGGAGATGTGCAGGAGGCAGCCGATTGATGTTTCTAACTCTCTATCTCTCTCCCTTCCTCTCTGTAAAAAATCAATAAAATATATTTTTTAAAAAAGACATTTAAGTTTTATTATGGTTATTGTTCCATTCAGGTTTTCTACTTCTTATTAAAATTAATAACTTAAATTTTACTAGAAAATCTACAATTACCTCTACTGTGGTTATAGAGTTGCACATAATACCCAACAGCCTCAACTTTCTGTGAAATGCTGTGTGGTTTAACCTTTCTAATGTTTTTGTTTTGATTTAATTTTTTGTTTTGCTATTGTTTATCAATATTTCGTTTATTTGATCTCTTAGAACCAAACTGTGAATTTAAAAAATCTGGTCCACTTTTTTGTTTTCTAGTACATCGGTTTCGGGTGTATACTTACTCATTTTATATTTAACTAAATTTAATAAGCAATGTTTCATAAGAAGGACATGATAACGCCCCAAATATGAGCATACTCTTAAAGTAAAAAGAATAAATATCACAATTACACGTCCTATAAATAAACTGTTAACAAATGTTAGTGTAACTTTCCAGAGAGCTTATTAAGTGCCTTTCTATATGTATTTATGTATTTATAAAACATAAAAATAGTAGTTTTGTATTGGTACTCCATTATTTCCACTCCGGACCCAAGGTTGTCCTCCCAGTCCTTTCTCAGATTTCCTCACCCAGAGCTCAAGACTGCCCGCCTTCAGTCTGGGCACATCCCCAAATCCCAAGGCCCGAACTACACTTCCCCGATGCCTCCAGGGTGGACCCAGCCACTATCCCGCCGCTTAAATTGTGCTGAAAAGCCTGGGCTGCAGTGTTATGGCGTTCCGGACTGAGGACTACACTTCCCAGCAGTGCCCAGATACAGGGAAAAAAATTCTCAGCTGAAAGTTGAGCACCCAGCGCAACCAGGATTGTGGGTCTCCGAGGACTGAACCGCCCAGGTCCGGATGACTACTAGTTTGTGGCGTGGTGGAGAGTAGTCCTTTGCTGGCCCTGCGCTCAGAGCCCTGCTCCTTTTGGAGAGAACTCTGGACAGTCGGTTTCCCGGCTTTTAACTACAGTTTTTAGAGATCTCTGGGCATCTCCAGGTTTGGGGCGAAGACTGTAGGAGACGGTTTAACTTCTGGGTCATCCTGGTGGAGGACCACTCCGCCCTTTCCCAAGCTGTGGGCTACATATCTGAGAAGCCTTGCACCACCTGTTCTTAATCCTCAGCAGCCACCTCGTGCTACCCAGACCTGTCGGGTCGCCAGATCCTCGGAGGATGCTCAGGTGTACTGGGTGATCAGCACTGAGCTTCGCTAAGGCTTGGGCTGCGAGTCGGCAGAGAAGCCTGAGCCGGCCGGACCCTCGCTGGATTTCCCTCTGGTGGACTACATTTCCCTATGGCTCCGCGGCATATCCATATACAGCCAGAGTGGGCTGGCCTGTGGTAAGTTTGAGAAAGCGCGTCACAAACTAGTTCACTGGTTAGTGGCGAATTCGCTAAGACAGGAGTACAAGGCACCCGGGTAAGTGGACATGAAGCACCCCCGGACGGGGCTGGGTGTCTCTGGGGTGTGTACAGGCTGCATGCCCTCGCTGGTAAAAGAAAGGACGTCCGAGAGACCTGGGGCGCCGTGGCCGCGTGTCCTCCCGCCGGATGGGGAGGTAGCGGTCGCGCGTGCACGGGGTGGACGTGGTTTCAGCTGGCGGTGTCAGGAGGTCGGGTGTTGCCTCG